GGTCTTCGGGTGGTGAAGACTGAGGTGCCCATGGTGCATCAGTCCTTTGTAAGATTTTTTTCTGTAAGACTCCACCGCCTCCCCGCCCCCCCCTCCACCCACCACTCATCCCACCCCCTGCCACTGTCCTTTGCTCCAGACAGGGAAACACCAACAGAAGCACCTTAGATGGTCACCTGTAAGCTTTTACGATCTTAGTCAGTCACAATACACAAAAGTAGACTACAGAACACTGTCTCTGTGAATTACCTTAATTGACCTTACGGTGCTCCCAAGACTATGTTCCCAAGCCTCCAAGCCCCGTGTTTCATACCCTCCTGGTGTTTGGTTCTGGCTAAGAGGTCACAAACCATCCCTGTCTGCTCTATTATAAGCATGGATATGTTTATACAACTCAGCAACTCACTACCACTGAGTCGAAATGGGCAGGACAGAACTCCCCCTGTGGATTTCCAAGACTATAAAGTCTCATTATTCTCCTGAGAAGTTTCAAACTGCTGACCCTTGTGGTCAACAGCCCACCTTGAAACCACTACACCCAGGGCTCCAGATATGTTTAAAACACATATAAATGTGTTTAAAGAACTATCGTTTGCCAAACCATGTATGCTCACGTGTTATTCTCTATTGCCTATTCACACCTGCTCATCTTGACTGCCTATGTTTCCACTGATAATTATTGTTAGTTAGTTATGATATTGCAGAATTGTATATATAATGGTATTATCTTTGTTGTCTGTAATTCTTGTGGCGCTAACCACACCTACCTTTTTCTTAATGATATTGTGCTGTTCAACTCAATTTCCTTTCCCTCTACCCAAATTAATGTCAATTACCTCAAAAATCCACAGGAACAGTTCTACCCCATCCTACAGTGTCGCTGGGAGTCAACCAACTGGTTGGCAGTGAGGTTGGTAGGTTGGTTGGTTGTAAGTTTTTGTTTGGGGCAGGGGCGGTCATTAAATTATGAAAGGTGCATATCAGAGTTGTTTCCAGTTCCTATCTGTACCAATGTACACCCTCTAGTCTATCCAGACTTGCAAGGTAGAATTGGGATCATGATAGTGGGGGGCAGAGGAAGCATTTAGGAACTAGAGGAAAGTTGTATTTTTCATCATTGGTAAATCGCACCTTGTCTGGCTCATCTCCTCCCCAAGACCCCTCTGCAAGTAGATCTCCAGTGGCCTACAAATGGGCTTGGGGTCTCCACTCCGCACTCCCCCTCACCTCATTCACTATGGTAAGATTTTTTGTTCTGATGATTCCTGATACCTAATCCCTTCGACACCTTGTGATCACTCAGGCTAGTGTGCTTCTTCCATGTGGGCTTTGTTGCTTCTGAGCTAGATGGCCGCTTGTTTACCTTCAAGCTTTTAAGACCCCAGATGATATATCTTTTGATAGCTGGGCACCATCAGCTTTCTTCACCACATTTGCTTATGCACCTATTTGTCTTTAGTGATCGTATCATGGAGGTGAGCACACAGTGATATGATTTTTTGTTCTTTGATGGCTGATAACTGATCCCTTTGGCACCTTGTGATCACACAGGCTAGTGTGCTTCTTCTATGTGGGCTTTGTTGCTTCTGAGCTAGATGGCCGCGTGTTTGTCTTCAAGCTTTTAAGGCCCCAGACGCTATATCTTTTGATAGTCGGGCACCATCAGCTTTCTTCACCACATTTGCTTATTCACCCGCTTTGTCTTCAGCGGTTGTGTCGGGAAGGTGAGCATCATACAATGCCAATTTAATAGAAGAAAGTATTCTTGTATTGAGGGAGTACTTGAGTGGAGGCCCAATGTCCTTCTGCTACCTTAATACAACCCTATAAATGTAGGCACATAGATCTATTTCCCCATTCTCATATATAAATATATTTGCATATGTACATGTCTTTATCTAGACCTCTATAAATCCCCTTTGCCTCCCAGCTCTTTCCTCTATTTCCCTTGACTTTCCTCCTGTCCCACTATCATGCTCAGTCCCCACCAGGGTTTCAACAATTCCTCTTTGTTACATTACCCTTGATTATGCCCTACCAGGCCTCTAAGGCTAACCTTTCAACCAGCAGCTGCGTGGAAGCAGAAACAAGAAAGTACCTCACAGGCAAAGGCACACACACAGAGGACATTTGAGTCTAGGGTGAAGCATATATTTATTGTTTATATGATGGAATTTTACGCTTTTATGTAAGCATGAAACCAAGGCAGAATAAGAGAACTCAAGAGCCCCACTTCCTCGCCATGTTATCTGTGACACTACGCCCTGCAGTAGGACCATTTTGTATGTTGTCTTAAAAAAAAAAAAACTGAATAAAAACCCAGAGGCAATGTATGTATATGAGAAATAATAGCATGTCTGTGCATTTAGTCTTACATTTTAGCCTCATTTACTTTCTCTTCATTGTTGATAAGAGGATGAGATCAGTACAGTTTCTAGAGAGTTACTACTATTAGACAAGAAAATTAAAAAGCATATTAGAAGAAAACAAGAAAAAAGGAATATTTGTGAATCGCAGTGTCCAATTCATAAATGGCCTCACTTGTAAAGCATAATTGTTTATAGAATGTGGAAATGTTTTTTACATTTTCTTTGTACAAAATTTATATTAAACTTAAAAAAGAAGAAAACTATGGTGAGAGAGCTCAGAAGCTAAGCTGTGGAGAGAGTTGAGTGTCTGGGCAAGCAGCTTTGTAGCAGAGTAGGTGGCCTCTGGTCACTTCTCAGTAGGTCTAAGGATGTTTTAATACTTGCCCAAGTAGTGTAGATGTTTGCCCAGCCCATGCGGCTTGCGGGGACTAGAGGTGAAGCAACCAGGAAGAAGTTGAGAGCTACAGAACACAGGAAACAGCCACAACCCTCTGGCGTCTCAAAGGGTAAAGCCACAGCGTATCAGGTCAGAGAGGCAAGATGTTCACCAGTTCAATTCCAGAGAGTAGGGTGCTGTTCACAAGTGCCAAGAGTATGGAGTCAGATCTGTTGTGCAAAGCTGAGTGGGTGAGCTGTACATGCCAATGGGGCAAAAGAAGAGAGACGGCAGGGGTCAAGTGGATGGATGGGATCACCACTCAGTTGACTAGAAGAACAGAGCTACCCAATCTAAGAGAAAGAGTTGTCATCTCAAGGGGCCTGGACCCAGGGGGCTCCACCCAGAATCCAGAAAGCCAACATCCTGAGTGTGGAGGGCAGGATCATTACCCAGAGGATCTCAGAAAAGAAGGTTAATTTTAAGCCTTGAGAGCTAAGAAAAATAGCTTTGTTGGAGTTTTTGCTTACTTGGTATCCATTATTACACCTTCTTTTCCTCTTCCATTTGTAATAGAAAAGTCTACCTAGTGCCTGTTCCATCGTTGTACTTTGGAAGCTAATAACTTTATTCTAGATTCACAGCTTAAGAATTCTACCCCAAAATGGAATTTGAACTTGGAGCTGACTTAAAACTTTTATATGATGGGGTGAAACGGTTTTTCATGCAGCACAGACATAAATTTGAGGAGGCCAAATGGGCACTATGGTGGTACAGTCGTGATGCACTGGACTACTAACTGCACCCTCAGGGCCCTTCTAACCTGTCCTGTAGGATCACTGTGAGTCGGCATTGACTATGGCAATGAGTTTGAGTTTGAAAGGGCCAAATGTCATCAATGAAACTGTTGCCCCTCAAAATATGTGTCAATTTGGCTGAACCATAACCCTCAGGGGGTTGGCAGTTCTATGATGATGCGATCATAAAAGCAATGGGGAGGATGGTGAAGGACTGCGCAGTCCTTTGTTCTGGTGTAAATGAGGTGGCTATGAGTCAGAACTATCTCAACAGCACCTAACCACAACAACCTGATGATGAAACTGGGATGTTATCCAACGACAATATCAATTCTATAGCATGACTTGATGTCTTAGCCAATTAGTTATAAGAAAATTACTGGTAGAATGCAACACTCTCACTCAGGTCCATATCCCTTGTAAGATAGGCTACCATGGGATGCAATCTTTTTTCTTATAAGAAATAAAAGGAGACAAAAGAAAGCAGAGAAGGGCATTGTACTACTAAGAAAGAACAGCTCCAAGGTACTAGCACCAACAACTTCCTAGAACCAGGAAGACTGATTTCAAGACATAGGTACATCTCCAAAACATGTCTAGGCCCACAGAAATGGAAAGGAGCCAAGGACCTTCCCCCAAGAGCCAAAATCATGTTGTCATTTTTTTTGTCATACTAAACCAAACTCAAGCCTATCGCTGTTGAGTCAATTATGAGTCAATAGCAACCCTATAGGACAGAGCAGAACTGCCGCCCTCATCCCAAGGTTTCTAACGCTGTAGTCTTTATGGAAACAAGCCACAACATCTTTCTATCATGGAGTATCTGGTGGGTTTGAACTGCTGACCTTTTAATTAGCAGCTGAGCACTTTAACCCTTCTGCCACCAGAGCTCCTTTTTGTCATATTAAAAATTTATTTAAAAAATAAAACAAATGGAATCAATTCATCCCTTCTCACATATCATTTTCTCTAAGACAGTAAATCTCTAGATACAAAATATTAAAAAATAATAAAACATTGATAATTCAACCTCCATATATTAATTCAAATATTACTATTAGGGAAGAACAGACTATATATTTATACCCATGATATTTACTTCTAAGATGATAAAAATAAAAGTATATACAATATTTAGTAACATCAAGTTTTTAATGAAGATTCTTTTGAATGAGCCAAATATATACCCTATAAACTAAGAGTATAAAAATATGCTGAAATGCTAAATATCTACTCTCCAATAGCTTCTTTTTACCTATCTATGAGTTTCAACATAAGACACACCAGTTATTTGTAACTTACAGGTTCTTCTAGATATATTCCACGTACAGCCATTTATTTTCCCCCTCAGAGCTGATCATGAAAAAATTATCACAGCTATTAATATATAATAATGGTATCAGTGGTAGCAATAGTTGTGAGAGTAATATTCCAATGTTAAGTGTCTGGGATTCCAACCTGGTCTCCAAAGTCCTCTGGGAATTTCCACAATACCACAGGATCTGTAAATAATTAACATATATCATTAATGAAAGATCCAAGAAGGAGTTCAACTACAAGCTTAAAATACTATTTAAATTATTTGAGCTACTTTAATTATACTTTAAATTTTTTGTTTAAATATTACATTGATCAGTGTCATTTTGTTTCCTTCATCAACTGAATATTTTTAACTTTTAAAGGTTTTGTGGCCATTAATCATTTTAGAAACTTAAGTTTTTATTTACTTACCTAGATTTTAGGATTCTGGAATATAAATTATCAGATTTAACCTCATTTATAAAAATATTAATTACCATTTTAAAAGAGAATTGTAAATACCTAACCAATGCTATAAAAGTTCTCAGGAACTAAACCAAACTACATCATTTTAAATTGCCATTTAAAATCCTAGTTAAAAATC